GAGCATTGAGAAGGAGGCATGAAGGCTCTAGGGCCCTACCTTGTTTACCCAGCTTAAGATGACGCTGCAAGGGCTGTGAGGAGGGTGTCAAATGTTGGCCTCTCACAGGGTGGCATATTACCAAGGTCCGCCCCTGACTGAGAGACCCCTTGACCTGAGGGATCCTGGGACGCAGGGGCTGGGATGAAGCAGACAATAACCTGATAGAACTCCAGAATTATAGCCGAGTACCATTCTTGGCAAGGGACGTGGGTGGCACTGTGGGTTAAACCACAGAGCTAAGGACTTGCTGATGAGAAGGTCAGCAGTTCAAATCCCCGCGATGGGGTCAGTCCCTGCTCCTGCCAACCTAGCAGTTTGAAAGCATGTCAAAGTGCAAGTAGATAAATAGGTACTACTCTGGCGGGAAGGTAAATGTCATTTCCATGCGCTGCTCTGGTTCTCCAGAAGCAGCTTAGTCATGCTGGCCACATGACCTGGAAGCTGTACGCCCGCTCTCTTGGCCAGTAAAGCGAGATGAGCACCGCAACCCCACAGTCGTCCGTGACTGGACCTAACAGTCAGGGGTCCCTTTACCTTTACCATTCTTGGCAAGAAAGGAATACAATGTTGTAAAGTACACAGATGGGCCAATCTTGTCAATTTCAGTTTCCCTAATTTTTCCATTTTTACAATCTAAAGTTCTTTTCCTGACATATTCATATCAGTTTTCTAGTTTATTGCAGGGGGTGGGGCTCGTGAAAATTGGCCAGCATCATAGTGCCAATTTCTCCCTATATACACACTTTTGCAAAGCAATTTGCCCTAAGGTATGTATAGTGTGACCAGTTTTCTTTTTAAAAATGCAGTAGGAAAATGAATGTCTGCACTGGAGAACGAACACTTGTAAGGCTGGCTGATTAAATCTTTATCCAATACTGCCTTTCAGTTTTATCAAAATAATCTTCAGTCGGTCTTTGATGTTGGAAAGAATTAAGTAGACTGATTTGCATCCTGTTAATTTCTCTCCACTTCTGTTGGGCTGGCTTCACTCTCGCTTGATATCAGTCCTATTGGCTTCCCAACGGCATTGCTTCATAGCTAACAAGGTTGCCATTAAGTCCTAGTTTCAAGGACACAGAGCCAAAGCGGTGCTTAAAATGAGGTTAACATGTAGAATCTGACCTTGGTGTGTTTCATATCGGCAAGTGGAAGGCTTGAAAAAGCGATAAAGGGTTTAGAGGAGCAAGAAATCTAATACTTTGTTAAATCAGCAAAAGAAGAAGAAGAAAGCCCCGTGCAGAAATTTTCTAAGCAAGCAAGTTTAAAACCACACAGTTTAATTCTGGAGTGATAAGCTCAATTTCTGTCCCTCCCCCCGCAAGATTATATGGATGAACTAGCTAAAAAGAACAATTTTGGAGCAAACACTTGTCATTGTTGTTGGCTTCCATCTGTATCAAGGAAACGATGGAAGAGTGCTCCTTTGCAGGTAAAGTCAAACAGTTGGAGAGTTACAGCGCTTGCTGTGGCAGTGCAGACCAATGCAGAAGAGACATGTTTTATTGCAGCTGGGGCAGATGAAGAGTCCAGTTGTGCGGCTGCAAATGCATCATGGTGTTTCTTCTCTCTGCACTCCTCCCAGCAGCCATTCCTTCTCTGGTCACTGTTGGGGATACACAACCTGACTGCCTCCAGGCATTGTTGTCATCTACATGGCAGGGTTGCCAGCCTTCATGTCACATTCGCAGACATATTTGTAATACAGAGTTGGTCTGCCATTAAGTGGGTGAATAACAAAGCCACTTTTATTGCATTCTAGCTAAAGGGTTGACAGGTGTTGAAGACGTGAAGAGATCCTGTCCTTCCTCTTAGTTTCAGGGATGGTGAGCGGGTTCTAGGACGCATAGGAACTTAGGAAATTGAATCTATTCAGGTAAATATTGCCAAAGGCTGGCCATGGGTCCCCAAGTTTTCAAATAGGGTTCCTTCTCAGCCTTACCTAGAGATGCCAGGGATTGTTTCTGCAGAGAAAGGGTAGCATCTTTATCACTGAGCTGTGGCTCTCAGTGTGAATTGGTATATACGATGGTTGGCTGGCATTGCATCCACTCTGTTTTTTGGCTGTTTTATTTTTCATGGCTTTATTTGTTGTATTTTACCTTGTCGAGTTGCTTTGAGGCTTTTTCTTTTGGCTAAACGGACTGATACGTTTAATTGATAGTACAGTGGAACCTCGGTTGTCGAACGCTTCTGAAGTTGAATGCTTCAGAAGTCGAATGTCATCAACCTGAAAGTGAATGCTTTTCGAACGCACCTCGGAAGTTGAATGGCTTCTGAGGCACGTTTCTCCATTTTTTCAATGGATTTTGCTGGCTGGCAATTGCGCCTCAGTTGTTGAACGTTTTGGAAGTCGAACAGTCTTCCGGAATGGATTACATTCAACAACCGATGTTCTACTAACAGTATACACACTTTATTGTTAGAGAGTTTTGTTTTTAAATGGATGTGTGTACCAGTGTTCCAGAGAACTTGAGTCACAAGTCTAACAAGACATACAATAAGTAATATAGTGTGAATGACCCTTCCCAAAGCAATGGCCCTCCCCAGACCATGTTCTCCACAAGCAAAGGACCACAGCATTATATTTAGAGAGCAATTGTGTGCACGAGAAGCAGGCATAAAGTTACAGCAGAACTAAACCCCATTCAGCAGCTGGGCTGCTGCTCTGTCAAAGCTTGGCAGAAGGAAAACAAGCCTTTTAAAAGTGTTCTATGCCAAGTCATGTGATCAAGCTAGATGGCCTTAGGATCCAGCCTAAGTTTTCCCTCACTGCCCCCCCCCCACACCCAGTCTGGCTGAGCCCTGGCTGACCTGCGATGAGCAGATTATAATGGCGCATCTTTGGCGGAGCTGAGTTAGGGTGTTACCTGGTGGCAGCAAACCAGTCGTGGCTTATTTGCTAGCAAAATCAACTGTGCAGGAATAGCTCCATTGTAGCTATAGGAGGGACGCGGGTGGTGCTGTGGGTTAAACCACAGAGCCTAGGACTTGCCGATCAGAAGGTCGGTGGTTCGAATCCCTGTGACGGGGTGAGCTCCCATTGCTCGATCCCTGCTCCTGCCATCCTAGCAGTTTGAAAGCACGTCAAAGTGCAAGTAGATAAATAGGTACCGCTCCGGCGGGAAGGTAAATGGCGTTTGCGTGTGCTGCTCTGGTTCGCCAGAAGCGGCTTAGTCATGCTGGCCACATGACCCAGAAGCTGTACACCAGCTCCCTCGGCCAATAAAGCGAGATGAGTGTCGCAACCCCAGAGTTGGTCACGACTGGACCTAATGTTCAGGGGTACCTTTACCTTTAGGTCTACAGGCTAGAATTTGTTACACGGATAGGTTTGATCGTGTAGAGAATTTTGTCTTGGTGGGAAGTACAGTGGCAGCTTTTCAGCAGTCTATATGAAGGGACATGGCATGTTCACCAGCCCTACAATAATGCTGTGAATTGCAGGACATTATTTTTTGTGGTGGCTCCACATCCATGGAACTCCTTGCCTGTTGTCACCCACAAGTGCACCATAACGCCAGTATTTTTAGAAAGCTGCTTCTAGCGGCTCTGTAGGGAATGATTTGCTGCTGTTTTTATATTCTGCATTTTATCAAACTCTCCATTTGAATGGAGTTTCAGGAGGCACTATTTTATTTTGCTGCGGTCGGTATGCTCTGCCTTTAGTATATAAGGTGCTTTGAAAGAATTCTTATTTGGGAAGGCGATATATACATGTTTTAAAAGGGCTCAAGCTTCTCATAGGTATGGATTATGTGTATTGAGCAAAAGGTGAGCTTAGATGTGCAGGGGACTTATTCAGATTACTCAGATTTTATGTTACAAAGCCATTCTTTTTTACTTGTGGGGTCCCCCCCCCAAAGCTGCCAAAATGCCTATTTATTTTTGTTACGCACGATAATTTGGAATAAATTATTACCACGGCATTCAGGGTATTAGCATAACTTATAGAGAACAAAGATAAAACATAGGTAAAACAACTCATTACAATATTTTTAATCAATTTTGAAAAATGCTCATGACCCAATGATATGCAGTCTTCCTCTGAAATCCCATTGAGGTTGTCTTAATTTGCTTCTGCTTGTCTGTATGCTTTCCTCCCAGTGCCCACAAACTCTGTGCAATGGCAGGGTAGGAAGAGATCTTACTACATCAAGGTTCTTTGAGGGTGATGTTCTACCAATGCACAAGCATTTTATATACTTCAAAACGGCTACCAAGGCTTTTTGATAGTTATTGGGACCAATTGCATGAGGCAGAGAGAACCTATGTATACAGAACGACAAATGCACAAAGGGCTCCTGTGCTTATTGGGTGTTGAGGGTGAAATACTCTCAACATAGCTGTTGTATAAGAAATTGCAGCCTTTTATAGGGGGGTGGGAATAAGGGAGTGAAACCAGTACATACAGTGGTACTTTGGTTTTTGAACATAATCCGTTCTGGAAGTCCATTCGATTTCTGAAACCTGTCTGACTTCCAAGGTGTGTTCGAAAACTGAGGCATTTACTTCTGGGTTTTTGGCGTTCAAGTTCCAAAACATTTGGCTATGGAGGCGTTCGAAAACCAAGGTACTATTGTACTTCCATCATTGCAGGATGGAGGGAAGAAGGTGGGAGCTGAAATATACCTCAATGGATGGTTGGATGATGGCCAAAGGATTGGAAGACTCAAAGAAACTTTGCTGAGGTTTGACACCAAACTGCAGCATCGAAACTGTAGCGAGAACATCTGAGCTGCATGCAGACTTTTAAAGTCTGGATGCAGGACACAACTTGAGGAGTGGGGAGAGGGCAACGTGGATATTTAACGTGGATCTTCATAAGTGTGTGGCTGGTTCTGATAACATGAGGTTTTGTAAAATGTGTGCAGCTTTTATTAATTTTAAAAATGGAATTAACATTCATTCTTGCTTCTACAGTCAAAATCATTCCAGTAACTGCTATTCTTTGCTTGCAGGTTGTATACAAAAACAACGATGTAAGGCTGGAACTGTCTCGACTTGCCAAACAAGGAGATCCTAAGATGAAGATCCACGGTGTGGTAGCATTTAAATGTGAAAATGTGGCAACCTTGGATCCAATCACTTTTGAAACACCAGAATCTTTTATCTCTTTGCCAAAGTGGAACGCCAAGAAAACGGGCTCGATATCGTTTGATTTCCGCACCACCGAGCCGAATGGGCTGATACTTTTTAGCCACGGCAAACCGCGGCATCAGAAAGATGCTAAACACCCACAAATGGTCAAAGTTGACTTCTTTGCCATTGAGATGCTTGATGGCCACCTCTACCTGCTGCTGGACATGGGTTCTGGTACGATTAAAACAAAAGCTTTGCAAAAGAAGGTGAATGACGGTGAATGGTACCACGTTGACTTTCAAAGAGACGGACGATCTGGTAAGTTTGGGTTTACCCTTCTGTGTATTGTAGACAAAATAGCAAGGGCGTCGTGTGTTGCGATTGCCATTGCAATATAGTGACACCCTTTGACGTCATTATGACAGGTGCAGGTGCTGCATCAAAAAACAGCACCCCTGAATCTCAGTCTCTCTCCCTCCTTGGTAATGTCTTACTGTACTCCCACATTTCCTTGTCCCTGCAACCAGCACCTACTGCAATGGAAGATGGCCAGGGAGACTTGGAGCCATGATTTTGTATCACTAGTCATTGGCAAGGAGGAGGAAGGCAAGAAATAGAACTCCTCTTTCCAGCGACAGCCATTTGTTTGCTGTGGAGCCTTTTTCTCTCACCCCACTTGCAATTGATTTGGCTTTGGCAATTAATCCAGAAAGCTATTAGTTAGAAGAATATGTTAGTCTGTGTTGCAATATTTCTCCTAACAACGACAGTGCACTCCCAAGCCAAGTTTCTGCTAAGTGTAAAATGGAATGTGGTGATATATAACCATTGTGCTGCATAATAGGACTGCAATTTATGACATCACGGTGTTCTTGGAATTTATAGTGCGAAGGCCAAATTGCATGTGATGGACAGATCCAAGGTTCTCCTCGCTGGTAGAATGTTAAAGAAAAGGCTTTAATAAAGAGCGGCTGAAATAAAGGAGAGAGGATGAAATAAAGAGTGAATGACTGACAGGCAGGAGAGGTGTCTTAACCTTCTCTTCTTGATATTTTATTCCCACTTAAGATTGCCTCCCCAAATGGCTTTTCCACTCCTGGGAGAAAACACTTGGGCTCCTTGATTTACCCTTCTCTTCTTTTACTTTACTTTTTCCTGCCACTCTGCGTATCTTAGATTGTATGTCTGCAGCTAGAACCTGCGTTCTTCAATACTTTATACAGTACCTGGAATTTTTGGGCAACAGCAGCACTGGCTTGTATATGACTAAATTATGCTCAGAGCAGACCCATTGAAATTAATGTATTCAACACAGTGCTAAGGAGTGAATGCAAGCATTTCTGCTTCCTTGGCTGACTGATCTCCTGGAGCAGACTGGGGTTTTTTGAAGCCTTGTTGTACTAATAGGAACCTAGAATAAGGATTTTGACAGCCTCCCTCAGCATTTTGACCATACAGTGGTACCTCGGGTTAAGCACTTAATTCGTTCCGGAGGTCTGTTCTTAACCTGAAACTGTTCTTAACCTGAAGCACCACTTTAGCTAATGGGGCCTCCTGCTGCCGCCACACCGCCAGAGCAAAATTTCTGTTCTCATCCTGAAGCAAAGTTCTTAACCCGAGGTACTACTTCTGGGTTAGCAGAGTCTGTAACCTGAAGCGTATGTAACCTGAAGCATATGTAACCTGAGGTACCACTGTACTTATACCTGATAGATTACAGAGAAGTCTAGGGCCTGCATCTTCTGCTGGAGATGTGCTGAGCCTGAAGAAACTTCAGATCATATGCTATAGGCTTGTCCTATCAGAATTCTACTCTGCAAATGCTTTGGAAGGCTTAGATGACTAGCCATGAAACTAGACAATAGCTTTATTGTCTCCTTCCAACAAGAACAGAATGGCAAAGGGAAACTCCTGACTCTCCATGCCCCCCCCCCGGCATACAACTGAGTCCAGTGCCATCAAGTGGCTAAACTATATAATGACACAATTTAGGCTAAATCTACGCAACAATAAAAAACTCTCTGAAAACGCTGTGCAGAAAACTGTTGTAAAGCTCACAGTTGAAAATATCACCGAGTTATGATTTCAGCTCTACAGCGCCATTCGGTGTCACAGTGTTATAACGCATTTATAACGCTGCATTTTGACTAATGTAGCTGAATCCCTGGATAGTAGAATAGCGAACAAGCTTTGTTACCGATGCGGCTATCATATGTTCATCTCTTCCCCTAATTTGGAAAGAACACATCATCTCTGTATGGGGATATATGTCAAAAACAGTAGCTGTTGCAAACTGCTTTGAAAGCTAAACACTTTGCCCTCTAGCACTGGAAATCATCAACGCCACACATTTCAAAACCTTGACAGGGAACCTTCTGTGGCTTACAGCGAAATAGCATATAGCTTTTAATTGCTGTGAGGCTAGCACCAACTTCAGCGGGATCTGACCAAAACTCTCAGAGCATGTTTGTTCATTTGTTTTGTATTTCCTGGCATCTCAATTGGCTCACCACACCTTCTCTTCATCCCTGTTTTTTCTTCTACTTTTGCATTTCCTTCTCTCTTACTCTCTCTCTCTCTCTCACTGTGCTTCTCATTCCTCCCACCTGCTACTTCTTCGGAGTTTGGGTCATGGCAGGATGCTGAGGTTAGGTTTTGGGAGGATGGGTGCTGCTGTTGTTCGTTTGCTTTCTGTTAAGAAAGCATTGATAAACCCCACATGAACTCCAAAACTACAAAGAGCATTATAGTAGGGTTACCAGATGTCCCTGTTTCCTGGGGAAAGTCCCCAGATTTGCGAATAAGTCCCTGGACAAATTCCATCCCCGGAATGTCCCTGGATTTCATCTAATGTCCCCAGGAAATGCAGCAGCGGCGGTCTCAGCAGCCCGGAGCAGTTGGCTCTGGCTGGCTTCAGGAGCTGCTCGGAAGTCCCCATATGATGGTGGTGCAGGGGCTCTAAGATGCAGCTTCTTGGCTGCCTCCACCTTCCCTGACCCCCAGCAACTAAGCTGTGAAGGGAGGCTTCAGGCTGCCTATCAGAGCTTGTGTGCAAGCAGAAGGGGGCAGAGATCTTTCAGTTAGGCAACGGGAAGCCTCCCTTCCCAGCTAAAGGATCCCCATCACCTCCTGCTTTCACGCAAGTAGGAATGGGATTGGGGCTGCTCCAGTGGGAAGGGAGGCATTGCACTGCCTGAGAGATCCCTGCCCCCTCCTGCTTGCACGCAAGTAGGACTGGGATTGGGGATGCTCTGATGGGAAGGGAGGCATCACACTGTCTGAGCCTCGCTGCTGCCGCTCTTGGCCCTCCTTCTCCACCTTCAATGCCTGACCCACCACCAAAGAACCAACAACTCAAGGGCTGCCCAGGCTCATGGAGAAAGGAGATAAGAGCCTCGGAGGAAGGGGAAACATGGCGGTTGAGGTCAAGGCAGCAGCCGCCCCTCTTTCACCGCCACCACTGAAGCATCAACATCCCAAACATGTAGTATTTATTTATTTAAAGTGTTCCCAGATTAACTGAAAAAAATCTGGTACCCTTACATTATAGTGCCTTTAAAGACTGTTTTTTAAAAGGATGTTATGGCATGAGCTGTTGTGGGAAAGAGCCAATATTCTTTAAAGCACCCTGGCAATCTTAGATCTAAACCATAGTTTAGTGTTGCATGCATAAACTTGCTTCTCCCTTTGCCATCTCCTGGCATGTCTTCTTTCAACCAAACCACAGGGTTGTTTCACTCCACTCACCTTACCTAGAAACCAAGGTTAGGTTTAACAAGGGATGGAAGAAGAATTACAGTATGCAACACTAAACTTTGGTTTTGTGTTAGTTCTGCTTTTGCTGAAAAAGACTAAGGGAAGTTTGGGCCATCACACCCTAGTGTTAGTAACGTCCAAAAATTTATTTAGTCTTTTACAGCAAAATGAACAAACACAGCTACTTTTCTGAAATTTGTCAGGCTTCAGTTAAGAGTATCCACAAGAGCTGTTGCAGGCTCAATGTTTGCACCTAACTGCAGACTTTCCTGAACCCTGTTATGAATTACCAATCTGTTTCTTGCTGATCTACGTGCTGTGTCTCTTGCAACGTTTTACTCTTGCATATCTCTAGCTAGCCTGAAAATCCACTACGGAGTGGTGCCCATAGATAAGAAAAAGCTGTGACATGTCTAAATAAGATTTCTTAATTTCCTTAACTCTTGGTTGCTAGGTCAGCAAGCATGTTGAATTATTCCCCCTCCCCATTTTGCAATCGTTTCCGTCTTTCTGACCATTCCAGTAATTTGTAATATTATCCACGTTACAGGATGAAGGGACGGACGTTCTCTTCTGCTTGAAATTTGATCCATTTTAGCCAAACACTTAAATCTTATTTACTTCAATACTAGAATAACTCAGAGAACAGCTGAATATTCTTCGGCAACCTTTAAATGTCACCTCAGGGCACTCAAACTGGTGCAGAATTGCTCAGTCTGATACCACTCAGGCAATGTCAGAAGCTCCAAGTCTGTAACATGGTTTCTTACATCACCACTGTTGCTGCAGGTCCCCAGAAGGGCAACACCAGAGTTGTTCCAAATGTTCATGAAGTTTGCTATTTTTGATCTGAAAGCTGCCGCTTTTTGGAGGATGAAAGGTTCTTAAACAAAGCAAAAAACCTGTTCATCTGCTCATTTTTCCTTGCCTATTTACAGTTCCCGTGATCTGCTTGAGTGCCATTCCCCCCCCCCTTTTGAAAAGAAGTGTCCTCATTGCATGGTCCTCAGCTGTAGAGTCCATAGTGAAAACAGAATCATAGAATTGTAGGCAGTGCTATTTTTCTAGAAAAAGAAATACTGGAACTCACCATGAACTCTTCCCTTGTTTTCTTATAATGGCAATGGCGGCCACCTGAAAGGCGCTGGAACTGAGTTCCACTCAGTTCCAGCTGAAAAAAATCGCTCATTGTAAGGTTAGAATGGATTCTGAGGGTAATCTAGTCCAACCCCCTGCAGTGTAGGAATCACAATCACATGACTGTGCCATAGTTTGCATAGCCAGTCAGATTGGACTACGTGATTAAATCATCAGGGGCAATAAATATTTTCAGTTGATGGCTGCATTCTTTTCTGAAAACCTTCCAAGGAGTAGATGTCAGGGTTAGGAAGAGTCAGAGGCAAAAGTGTGCAAAGTAACAAAAGTGAACTTTTCCAAGGACATAATCCATCCAAGAAGAAAACAGGGTGTGAAGCATGGCCAGTGATGGGTATGGCCTGGAGAGACTTCTGACGGTCATATAAAGAGGACTGGAAGGCCATATTCAACCCCCAGCCTGAGGT